GTTTCGATATTCCTGTTCTTCAATTCTTTAATTTTTCGATTTTTCAGGTTTTTGATTTTTCATTTTTTAGTTTTTTAAAGTTTCGATTTTTCGACTTCACTTTTTCGATTTTTTGATTGCTAATTTTTACGACTTTTTAGGCTCTCAGTTTTTGGATATTTCAGGTTTGGGATTTTTCAGGTTTTCCATTTTTCAGTTTTTCGATATTTCAGTTTTGGGATTTTTCAATATTTTTCTTCGACTTTTCCATTTTTAACTTCTAGATTTTTCAATGTGTCGACTTTTTACTTTTTTCATTTTTAAATTTTATATGTCTCAATTTTTCATTTCCGCTCTTCCATATTTCAATTTTTCAAATGTTTCGATTTCTTAATCTTTCGATTTTTCAATTTTTCAAATTTGACATTTATAAACTGTTGTAGCGGAGCTTTCAAAGCGCTCCGCTAGTACCCTTTCGAGGGCGCTGTCCTCGGCAGCGCCGATATCAACCCCACCAAGCTCACCCCCACTGGAACGCACCCCACCTGAAGTTACTTCATTGTGCAGGTACTCCCACGCATCTCAACCCTGCCTATAAAAGGGCAACTCGGACGCTTTCCAGGCAGATGGAACTCCACCATCTCCACCTTAAGGGTTGCACTGTCTCGGTCCCCTTTTGGTGAGCACCGTACAGATGGAACGCCACCATCTCCACCTTAAGGGCTGCACTGTCTCGGTCCCCTTCTGGTGAGCACCGTACAGATGGAAGGCCACCATCTCCACCTTAAGGGCTGCACTGTCTCGGTCCCCTTCTGGTGAGCACCGTATAGATGGAACGCCACCATCTCCACCTTAAGGGCTGCACTGTCTCGGTCCCCTTCTGGTGAGCACCAGGGCTGCACTGTGTTACGGTCCCCTGCGCCGCTTCAAGATTATCACCAGGGCTGCACTGTTTACGGTCCCCTGCGCTGCTTCGAGATCATCACCAGGGCTGCACTGTTTTACGGTCCCCCTGCGCCGCTTCAACGACGTCATCTCCAGGGTCGCACTCTCTAGGTCCCCTGTGCCGTATCGCCGACGTCGTCATCTCCAGGGTCGCACTCTCTAGGTCCCCTGTGCCGTATCGCCGACGTCGTCATCTCCAGGGTCGCATTCTCTAGGTCTCCTGTGCCGCACCGCCGACGTCGTCATCTCCAGGGTCGCACTGTCCAGGTGCCCTGTGCTACATACATCGCCGCCGTCATCCCCTACGACGCTCTGAGTCCCAGGAGCCGCCACCATCCCCGACGAGAATTGCCACCACTTCGATAACCCATACCCATATTTTGCTTTGTATTGTTTGCTTATTATCAATAAACCGCTGAGCTACCACACTGTTAATTTTTCGATTTTTGATTTTCCCATTATTTGACTTTCGAGGGTTTCGATATTCCTGTTCTTTAATTCTTTAATTTTTCGATTTTTGATTTTTTAGTTTTTTTAAGGTTTCGATTTTTCGACTTCACTTTTTGGATTTTTCCATTGCTCAATTTTTCGACTTTTTAGATTCTCAGTTTTTGGATTTTTCAGGTTTTCCATTTTTCAATATTTCGATTCTTCGACTTTTCGATTTTTGGCTTCTGGAGTTTTCAATGTGTCGATTTTTTTACTTTTTCGATTGCTTAATCTTTCGATTTTTCGACTTCCTGGTTTTAGATTTTCCGTTTTCAATTGTCGTTTTAAATTTTTCGACTTTTCAATGTTTCGATTTCCCGATTTAGTTTCCCATTTTTAGTTTTTCTTTAATTTTTCAGTGTTTCTTAATCTTTTAATTTTTCGACTTCCCGGTTTTAGATTTTCTGTTTTGCGATTTTTATTTTGTCAAATTTTGGATTTTTTAATTTTTCAAATTTGATTTTTATAAATTCCCAATTTTTCGATTTTTCAATTAATCGATTATTTGATTTTCCCATTTCTTGACCTTCGAGTGTTTCGATTTTTCTGTTCTTCAATGAGATTTTCCAATATTTCGATTCTTCCACTTTTCGACTTTTGACTCCTGGATTTTTCGATGTGTCGATTTTTTTACTTTTTCGACTTTTCAATTTTTCGGTTTTCAAATTTTAGATTTTTTAACTTTTAAAATTTTAAATTTTTCGATTTCTCGATTTTTCATTTCAGTTCTTCGATATTTCAATTTTTCAAGTTTTCGAATTTTTCAGATGTTTCGATTTCTTAATCTATTGATTTTTCGACTTCCCGGTTTTAGATTTTCTGTTTTTCAATTGTCATTTTGTCAAATTTTCGGTTTTTTAATTTTTAAAATTTGACTTTTATAAACTTTCAATTTTTCGATTTTTCAATTAATCGATATTTTTATTTTCCCATTTCTTGACTTTCGAGTGTTTCGATTTTCCTGTTCTTCAATTCTTTAATTTTTTGATTTTTCAGGTTTTTGATTTTTCTATTTTTCGAATTCACTTTTTTGATTTTTCGATTTTTCAGCTTTTAGATATTTCAGTCTTAGGATTTTTCAATATTTCAATTCTTCGGCTTTTCTATTTTTGACTTCTGGATTTTTCGATGTGTCTACCTTTTTACTTTTTCGATTTTTCAATTTTTGGATTTTTACATTTTAGATTTTTCAATCTTTTGATATTTTAATTTTTCAACATTTCTTAATATTTCGATTTTTCGACTTCCTGGTTTTAGATGTTCTGTTTTTCAATTTTTCGATTTGTTAAATTTTCGTTCCCGATTTATCGAGATTTGATTGTTCAGGTTTTCGATTTATCAGTTTTTCAATTTTTTATTTTAGCCTATTTCGGTTTCTCAGTTTATCCAGTTTTCCATTTTTTCGTTTTTTGATTTTTTTGCTTTCCCAATTTTTCAACTTTTAACTTTTTGTTTGTCGATTTCTCTATTTTTCGATTTTTCGACTTCATCACTTTTCGATTTCTCGTTCTTTTGATCTTTCAAACTCTCAATTTTTCAAATTTTTAAGTTTTTTGATTTCTCGATTTATCGAGATTTGGATTTTTCGATATTTTGATTATCAATTTCTCAATTTATAAATTGTTCAATTTTTAACTTTCCGATTTTTCAATTTTGGCCTATTTCGGTTTCTCAATTGTTCGACTTTTCGACTCCACGATTTCTTGATCTTTCGATTTTTCGATTTCTCGATTTTTCAATTTTTCAATGTTTCGGTTTTACAATTTTTGTATCGAAAACAACCACAAAAATTGTCACTAAAAACATTTAAAAATTCATACAAAATAGAACAGTGTTTCCAAAACATTTTCCCGAAAAAAATCCATTGGGGCATTACGATTTCAACAATATTCTTAGTTTAAGACGTTTTGCTAGTATAAAACACAAATAAAGAATTAATTCTTAGCAAACAAAATATGTAAAATCATCTAAATATGTACCAAAAATATTCACTTAGTCGTTATAAAAACCGACCAAACAACTATTTCACGCAAAAATTATAGTCCAAACCAACCAAATCGCTTCTGAACGCTTAGAGTCGACATTGGCCTGAGCGCGCTCTGGTCTGTAGATCAAACAAGTTCTCAGGCGACGAGTTGTAGTGAAACAAGTTTTTTTATGGCATCGACTATTTAAATTTGGCGCTTGAGGATTCCAGTGTCAATAAGGGTGGTTTTGCAAAATTAGCCTGTATGTCGCATATATATATATATATTAATCTATGATGTGATGCTGCTGTATTGATGACCACACTCAACACTCCCATCATCTCTGTCTGTAGCAAATCCAACTTGATTGTTCTCGTTCTAACACTTTCCTTTATACTGTCAGGAAGAAGATGGACCGGACGATATGTACCTATATATTTTGACATAAAACTGATAATAATTATGCAAGCATAATTTATGCACTTCCATTTCGATGTGGTGATATTACGTAATGCGTTTCCCCTAATCAGAGCAATTGTGTTCTAAAAGTACTAACTATCCCAGAAAACCCATTGCAAAAATTTGACAATGATTCCTACCTGTATTATAAATGACTCTGCGTTGTCTATTAGTGTAAGGCAGAGGTAATAAGAAAATAACAGTTCTGTATACATGACAAACAGTGTCTTTACTTACATAATGATGTAATGGTTTCTTAAAAGTTATGACTAAATGAAGCTAACATTCAACAAATATATTTTAACATCTAAGTACATCATTGGAGTAACAACGTAGTGGTCGATCGATAAAAAATAAAACTAGATCAAACCCGACGCTAAAGAAAATTAGCATGCCATCATCTCTACACACAGAATAATATATCAAGTGCAACATTTTTTACAAGTGCATAATCAGAATACGTCTACAATATGATAGAATGCTGAAAGTAATAACACTGTACAAAGTGAAACATTCCAATATCTTTAGTGAAAAATCACAAACAATTGCTCATATTTGACCTAAACAACACAAAGCACTAGTCTTTGCACTTCGCTTGTAACTAAACGGTATCCTTAGTTTAATTTCTAATGGTATGTAGTCATTAGCAACCATTTTTCCCTACAATCTATATAGGTATCAGGGCAATGCAGAATTGCCGGTCGTGGGCTAACCACTTAACCCACAGGCACCTTTTAGTAAACCCCGTCTAATAATACGTAATTTTCGAATCCAGTCTTCGTAATTAAACAACATAAAAATTCTAGTAATTAGGTAACTACCGAAAACGGTCAACCACGACTGTCATTATTGTTATCGTACTTTTTATTTAATATTAATTCGTCATAATATGCACACTTAAAATTACTACAGTGAAGACTATTGTCAAGTTTACACCAGAGAAGCCAATGAAGGAATAACATGTTCAGAGTATCAACACTTTAGTACACTAATTACAATGTCAGTAACAAGTATGTACATTAAAAGTGGAAGATATTATGTCGAGTGTATTTAAGCGCAACAACGTTTTAAAAAAAAGAACGAACGAACGAACGAACGAAAAATTAACACCGACTTTTCGTCGCGTTTAGTAAAAATAGGGGAAATGAAATCATAAATAAATAAAATGTTAACAATTATATTGTACTTTAAATAATAACATAAGTATTTACATGACTAAATTCATAATAAACGGCAATAACTGAAAAAAAAAAAAATGATATGATCTCCAAAATTATAAATAAAAACAAAATTATTCTTTAGTCGTAGTCTTGATAAATACTGAACGGACGCTTCAATAGTATTTTCAGGATAAACGTTATCAGTGTTATATTTAACTAAGTATTGCCACTTTTAATTCTTGAAAGTATGAAAAATTACCACAAAGAGTATGTAAAGAGGCACAGGCATAATGAGTGTTTAATTATAACGTTGAAAATTCGTACGTTACACAAAAATTTAACATAAACATAAATGATATGTCCATTTACATTTGGTAAGCGAAATAGAAAAAGCTCTTAAACAATGCATACCAACTGCAAGCTCAATAGTTATTGACATGAGCTAAGACTTCTTACACTCAGCTTTACTTAAACTGATAGCTAATTCTAAATCCGCCTGTTCTTGCAACTGTCTTTTTTTCCTATCTTCTTCAAGTTTGAGGCTTTCACGAGCAGCCCACTCAAGTTGAAAATCTTCACTAGTCATTCCCGAACTCCTGATGGGAGCAGACGCTCTGCCACTAATGTTTGTGAACGGATCAGTTCCTAATTTGGATTCTTTACTACTACTACTACCAAACGGATCACTGCTTGGCAAAGGAACCGACTGTCTACCGTCCAATCCGAATGGATCGAATTTGTCGCTGGTTAAATCGTCGAAGCTTTTCATTTTTGTGCAACCGAATACATCGACGTCGCTGGTCAAAGTATCGACGGTCTGCACATCAGGTGGCTCCTCGTCGAATTTTATGTTGAAGGGGTCTTCGTAACGATAATCTCTGAATGGGTCGTCCGTGAAATCCAAACCTTTAGGCTGTGCGGTTACCTTGTCGCTCGGCTTATTGGAAAACTGAAGAGGAGATGTGAAGATTATTAAGGCTGCAAACGCAGTGTTAAAGTGTTAGTAAGAAAACCCTGGTCTGCTTCTGCAAATACAAGTTAGAAATATACTTGCTCCAACATGCATAAACGGGCGGATGGTAAGCCGGCAAATAACTAAATCAAATTAAAGCATTAATAATCATAAAGTAACAAGGAATCAGTGATGTAGGAATGTAGATGCCAATACAAAAAAAAAAAAAAAATCATAACAATCATGTTAACATTTGCTTCTATTTTTTTAATGCGTTATTTTTATCGCTGCCTTCATTTCTTTTTTATTTCTGTTGTCTGTACTTTTTGTGTTGTAAGTTTTTGTTTAAAAGATGTCAATTTTAGCTGTTTTAACTTTATTAAATTAAAAAACTATTGGACCTAAAAAAAGTCGAACGCCAAAGTTGTATCATCTTTCAGTAGCATACAATGACATTATTTTCAACCATACTTCTTATGTGTAGTCCTCTTTTCACAATAAGAAAAATAAAACATGCTTAAAATAGTAAATTTTTGTTGGAAATTATCGATTTTGCAATTAAATTCCGCTCCTTTGGCTCTCGACGATTAAAAAAAAATCATCACAATTGAGATAGGGTGGGTGGGTGGGGCTTATATTTTGCCTTCTTTTTCTCAATATATATAGCCATTTTTGAATTTTTCGACTGCTCAACATTTCGATTTTTCAGCCAACAATTTTTTCTTTTTCTAATTTTTCACTTTTTCAATGTTTGATTTTTCCATTTCTCTATTTTCCAATTTTTCGATTTTTCTATATTTCAGTTTTTCGATCTTAGAATTATTCGACTTCTATTTTTCCTTTAGTCGATTTTTGGATTCTTCGATTTTTGAAACTTTCAGTTTGTTAATTTTTCAATACTTCAATTTTTCGATTGCAATGTTTAGATTTCCATTCCGAATTTCCTATTTTTGGATTTTTCAATGTTACATTTTCCATTTTAAACAAGTTTTAAGTTTCATGTTGCAAAAGGTAAGCCCGCCCACCCGCCCTACCTCAATTGTGATGATTTTTTTTATTTGCCGTTCAGTAAGAGGGCAGAGCTTAACTGCAAAATAGTTTTCTTTACAAGAAATTAAAAACAGGTTTTTCAGTATCGGGTTGTTCAAAGAATACAATGTATACTAAGAAAAAAGAAAAAATATAAATCCCGCCCACCCACCCTGTCTCAATTGTGATGATTTTTTTTATTCGCCGTGAACCAAGAGGGTGGAGCTTAACTGCAAAATAATTATTTCTTTACAAGAAATTAAAAACATGTTTTTGAGTATCGTGTTGTTCAAAAAATACTATGTATATTAAGAAAAAAAAAGGCAAAATATAGACCCCGCCCACCCACCCCATCTCAATTGTGATGGGTTTTTTATTCTTAGAAACTTAAAACACATTTAAAATGGTAAATTTTGGTAAAGAAATCTGGATTTTGCAATTAGGCTCCGCCCCTAGGTCTGCCAACGAATGAAACTTCATTACTGTTTATTAGATCAGGACACCTATGGGTGGAGCTTAATCTTGAACAATACGATACTCAAAAACATGTTTTTAATTTCTCGCAGAGAAAAGGATTTTGCAGTTAACCTCCGCCTTCTTGGCTCATGACGAATAAAAAAAAAATCATCATTTTTAAAATTTCAATTTCCGTTTTTTGATTTTTTACAATTATCCGAGTTTTCAATTTTTCGATTCCGCATTTCTTAATTTTTCGATATTAGAATTATTCAATTTTTCAGTCTGGATTTTTCAATTTTATTATTCTGTGAATTTTGAGCATCTCATTGCCAATTTTTTTTATTTTTCAGTTTCTCTATTTTTCCCGATTTTTGAATTTTTCGAGTGCTCAACATTTCGATTTTTTAGCTAACAATTTTTTCTTTTTATAATTTTTTGCTTTCTCAATGTTTGATTTTTCCATTTCTCTATTTTCAAATTTTTCGATTTTTCTATATTTCAGTTTTTCGATTTTAGAATTATTCGACTTCTAATTTTTCCTTTAGTCGATTTTTGGATTCTTCGATTGCAATGTTACATTTTCCAGTTTTTCCCTCGACGAATAAAAAAAATCACCAGAATTGAGATAGGGCGGGTGGGCGGGGCTTATATATTGCCTCCTTTTTATTAATATACATAGCCATCTTTTCACAACAAGGAACTTAGAACATTGTTAAAGTGGTACATTTTGGAAGGAAATATGGATCTGGGGGGGGGGGAGCCTAAATGCAAAATCGATATTTCCTTCAAATTTTTCATTTTAAACATGTTTTAAGTTTCTTGTTGTGAAAGTAAGTCTACACATATTAAAATAAAAAAGCAAAATGTAAGCCCGCCCACCCGCCCTATCTCAATTGTGATGATTTTTTTTATTCGCCGTTCAGCAAGGGGGCGGAGCTTAACTGCAAAACACTTATTTCTTTACAAGAAATTAAAAACATGTTTTTGAGTATCGGGTTGTTCAAAGAATACTATGTACACTAAGAAAAAAGCCCAAATATAAACCCCGCCCACCCACCCTATCTCAATTTTGATGATTTTTTTTATTTGCCGTGAACCAAGAGGGTGGAGCTTAACTGCAAAATAATTATTACTTTACAAGAAATTAAAAACATGTTTTTGAGTATTGTGGTGTTCAAAGAATACAATCCGATGAAATTCTCACTCACACCCTGTATTTTTATTAATGTATCTTACTCTGTTTTTGTTCGTGTTCTTCTAATGTGTATTTTAAAAAAGTTACTTATAATTAACTTTAAATTTCAAAAATTGAAAAATTCAAATATAGAACTGAAAACTCGAGAAATCTAAAAGCCAAAAAATTGCAAACCCAAAGAATCGAAAAATTGAAAAATCTGGAGCCTGAAAAATCGAAAAATTGAGGAACTGAAAAACTGAAAAATCGAAACCTTGGCAAGTCGAAAATGGGAAAAATCAAAAAATAGATTAATTTAGAAATCGGAAAACTGAAAATTCAGAAACATCAAAACTTGACAATTTAAAAAATTGGAAAATTGAAAAATCGGTACATTCAAAATTCGAAAAGCCGAAAAGTGAAAAAATGAAAAAGCGATAAATCGAAAAATCGGACATCGAAAAATTCAAAAACTGAGACAATCAAAACATCGAAACATCCGAATCTCGATAAATCGAGTTCTCAAAAAACTGAAAAATCGTAAAAATAAAAAATTCGGAAAAAAGAAATATATATGTACAAGAACTGAAAATTCGAAAAATTCAGAAATCGAAATATATATAAAAGAGTCGAAAACTGAAAAAAGTTTAAAAAACGAAAAACTGAAAATCCAAAAAAATTAAAAATCGAAAAATAGAAATATTGAAAAATCCCAAAACTGAAATAAACACCCAAAATTGAGAAATTAAAAAATTAGCCAACCGAAAAATCCAAAAATCGAAGAATTGAAGAACTGAAAAATCGAAACAGCGAATTCGAGAAACGGGGGGAAAAAATATTAATTGAAAAATCGGAAAACTGAAAATTTAGCAACGTCAAAATTTGAAAAATTGGAAAATAGAAATACTGAAGAACTGGAAAATCAAAAAATCCAGAAATCGAAAAAACTAAAATTTAAAACACTGAACAGTTGAAATATCGCAAAATTCAAAAATGGAGAAATCCAAACATCAAAAAAGAAAAATTCGAAAACCTAAAACTTAAAAATCGAAAAACTGAAAACTTGACAAATAGAAACTCCAGAATTAAAAAAAATTGAAAAATTGGATAACTGAAAAATCGAAATATCGAAAAATTGGAAAATCGAAAAACCGAGAAATCCAAAAATCGAAACATCCAGAAATAGAAAAAAATTGAGAAATGAACAATCAAAACATCCAAACATCTGAATTCGATAAATCCAGAAATAAAAAAAATTGAAACATCGAAAAGTTGAAAAAAAAATTGAGAAATCGAAGTATAAAACTGTCGAAAATTTGCAAAATCTAAAGTTTAACGCAAAATTGAAAATCCAAAAAGTAAAAACGAGGTGGAAATCCAAAAACTGCAAAGTGAAAAATTTAAAAATTGAAAAATGGACGAATTGAAAATTCAAAGCCTGAAAATTTGAAAAATTGTAAAATCGAAAAAAAAAACACAGAAAATAAAGGAAATGAAAAACCAAACAATTGTGATACAAATCGAGAAAATAAAAATTAAAAATTCGCCAAATAGAAAAATAAAAATCGGGAACATGAAAAATTGTGGAAACGAAAAATTGAGAAATTGAAAGTTCGAAAAATTAAAGAAACTAAAAATTGAAAAATCGAAAGAAACAACAAGAAATAAAGGAATTGAAAAAATGAAAATTTGTGACATAAAATCGAGAGAATGAAAATTTAAAATAATCGGGAAAATGGAAAATAAAAATCGAGAACTTGAAAAATTGAGGAAACGAAAAATTGAAAATGACAAAAATTAAAAACTGAGAATAGGTGAAAAATCGAAAAATGAGAAACTGTAATATCGAAAAATTGCAATTGGAAAAATTGAAAAATTTAGAAGTCAAGAAACTGTAAAATTGAAAAATCAAAAGTAAAAAAAAACGAAAAAGTATACATATGATGAAAACTTGAAAAATGTCAAAAATGAAAAAAAAAAGAAATATGTATTGTAAAATCAAAATATTGCAAATTAAAGAAATCGAAAAATTGGAAGACTGGAAATCCAAAAACTGCAAATTGAAAAATTTTAAACGTGGAAAATCATACAATTGAAAAATCAAAGCCTGAAAATTTGAAAAATTAAATCAATAAAAAATTGTAAATCGAAAGAAACAACAAAAAAACCAAAGAAAATAAAGAAACCAAAAATTGTGATATAAAATCGACAAACGTCGAGAAAACATAAAATTTGTCATTCGCCAGATGGATCTCTTTACTGCGTTATCAGCAAAATTATCTGACAAAACTGAGTATGTTATACCGGACTTCAAGAGCGAGGAAAGCACCTGTCTAAATAACTTTAGACCAATTTTTATAATTCAACAATTTATATAGAGTATCAAAAATAAAGCACCGATAGCTTTCGAATAATTTTGAATGTGTTGTGCATTTTTTTTTTTAATTACACCAATATTTTCTATTTTGATAAAATGACGAAAGAATCGAAACTTGGAGAGCTATACAAAACGAGTAAAATTTGAAGCCTCTTTTGTCAGGGTAAATATTTTACCCTGCGTAATCTCCGCCTTCCCAATTTCACGGTCAACTTCGACTTTATTTTATTTTTTTATTTTTTTTTTATTTTATTTTCTTTGTATGATACGATTACTAAAAAACATATTTCACATGGTAATTTGTAGTAGAAAAATAAGAATTTTACAATTAAATTCCGCTCCTTTGGCTCTCGGCGATTAAAAAAAATCATCACAATTGAGGTAGGGTGGGTGGGCGGGGTTTTATATTTGGACTTTTTTCTTAGTATACATAGTATTCTTTGAACAACCCGGTATTCAAAAACATGTTTTTAATTTCTCGTAGAGAAATAAGGATTTTGCAGTTAAGCTCCGCCTTCTTGGCTCACGACGAAAAAAAAAAATCATCACAAATAAGTTAGGGTGGGTGGGCGGGGCTACATTTTGCCTTGTTTTCTTAACACGTGTAGACTTATTTCGACAACAAGGACATAATTTTCAAGTGAACTTGAGCAGATTTTTTTATAGGCTTACAAAGAAACAACATTATAAATTTCGTTAAAAGTTCTCTTATGGGTTCATACAAGAAGTAGTTTTGAATTTTTGTGATCATTGGTTATAAATTTGACTGTCTTTGAAATGTGTACAGAACTACGAAATCTGTTACATACTGGCATCTGCACCCACTACATCTACGCAAAAATAACAAAACAAGAAAGTAAAAGAACCATACCAAGTGTTTCAAGGAATAATTTGGATCTTGTGTAGATGGATTTTGAGGAAAAGGGATAAAACAGTTCTTCGCGCAACTATAGTGCAAACACTTAAAAATTTCATCATTTAGAAAAAAACCAGCCTAAATCATAATTACCTTAGAGTCGAAATCTGAAAAATCAGCAAAACCACCACCGCTCGATGAAAATGAGTCATTCCCTGAACTGAATAGGTCCGTTTGTGATGGTCTCTTGACAGCTGGAGGTTGCGCTGGTCGAGGTGGAGCTGGCCTCGGTGGAGGCTGTTTACTTTTTTTAGGAGGCAAAGCTGGACTAGGACTTGTGGGTCGAGGAGGAGCGGGAGCTCCGTCTCGTGTAGGCGCATGTAAAACCGCGAAGGGATCACATCCAAAGGCATCCTTGTCCTCCTGCGAATCCAAAATCGTAAAAAACGTCTTAAAATGCATGCAAAAATAATCTGGTTACCTCGACTGCAGAATCAACACTTTTACGAGAATCGCCGAAAGCGTCAAACGGATCTGATTTTGGTGTCGTACTTGCAGTAAACGCGTTTCCTCCAAAAGGGTCGGATAAAAAACCATCATCCTAAAATATATGAATCCATGTTTTAAATTAACACGCAATTTAGTATTTCATAAAAAACTTACGGTAGATTTTGAAAAGGCAGAATTAAACGGATCACTAGGTTCAAAGGCATTGGAATTCTTGAAAGTATCTATAAAATATTTAGAGTAAGTATAGATAGTATAGGTGCATGAGTAAGAAACAAACCGTTATTAAAAAGATCGTCCCCAAAACCGGAGGAATCCAAAGGACCATTTGGTTTACTGCTGAATGGATCATGTTTTGAGTCTCCAAAACTATTCTAAAAAGGAAAATACGATTAAATTGTATATAAATGTATTGTGTTATTTGTGCAGTTTTTTGCATTTAACAACACTTAACAAATATTTAGCAATAATAATTTATTTTTATTATTTTGGAATATTATGACACCCAGGGTTGGACTATCATTATTAAAAGTATTGTCGGCTCAGCAGCGAGGGATATTAAGTTCCTCCGCCTCCTTTCTGCGGGTTGCCATAATTCCCTAAACACTAGGGAATAAAATGGACAAGGACTAAAGTTACCTTGCATGTTTACAGAAATTGATTACACAGTACCTCATATTTTTCGATTTTCCAGTTTTTTTTTTTGATTTGTTGATGTTTTGATTGCTCGATTTTTGAAATTTTCAAATTTTCGATTTTTCACTTTTTTGTTTTTTCAATTTAACGGTTTATCGGTTTTTTTAGGTAAACATTTTTCAATTGTGAATGTTTCCATTTTTCGATTTTTAGTCACTTCCATTCCTTCTCAACTTTTCAATCTTTTGATGTTTCGATTTTGTAATTTTTTAATTTTTCGATTTCGATTTCTCGATTTCCTAGTTTTTCGATAATTCATCTTTTCGATTTTCCGATTTTCCAATTTTTCAGTTTTGAGATTTATGTATTTTAACTTCTCGATGTTTCAATTTCTGGATTAATGGATTTTTAAATTTTTAAATTTTTCGTCTTTCCAAATGCTCGATTTCTCAAATTTCCAATGTTTAAGTTTTGGAATTTTTCAATATGTATTTATTTGGATTTTTAATTTTTTTGATTTTTGGACTTTCTGCTGTTTTTTTGATTTTTTACTTATTCGATTTTTCAATTTTACGGCATTTTAAACCTTACATTTTTCGATTTTTCAATCTTTTGTTTTTCAATTCGTTGATGTTTTGATTTCTCGATTTAGTAAATTTTCAATTTTTCGAATTTTTAGATTCTTCACCTTTTTATTATTTCGATTTCTCAGTCTTTCGTAATTAATTTTTCCGTTTTTCGATGTTTCGATTCTTCACTGTTTCGGTTTATCTTATAACTTCCTTTTCTCAATTTTTCGACTTCTCGATCTTTTGATGTTTCGATTTCGTGATATTTTAATTTTTAGATTTCGATTTCTCGATTTCTCAGTTTTTCAATAATTCGTCTTTTCGATTTTCAAATTTGGGATTTATGTATTTAAATCTTTCGATTTCTCAATTTCTGGATTAATGGATTTTTAAAATTTTTGACATTTCGATTTTTCGTCTTTCAGAATTCTCGATTTCTCAAATTTTCAATATTCAAGTTTTGGGATTTTCAATATGTATTTCGATTTTAAAATTTTTAGATTTTTAGACTTTTTAAATATTACATTTTTTGTTTTTTCGATTCGTTGATGTTTTAATTTCTCGATTTAGGAAATGTTTAATTTATTGAATTTTTAAATTTTAGATTTTTCACTTTTTTGTTGTTTCGATTTCTCAGTCTTTCGACTTTTTGCCTTCTCATTTTTAGATTTTTCAATTTTTCGGAATTAATTTTTCAGTTTTTCGATATTTCGATTTTTCAATTTAACGGTTTTCTTTCGATTTTTGGCCTTCTTGTCTGGCTTTTCAATTTTTCGGAATTAATTTTTCAGTTTATCGGTTTTTTAAAGTTAATATTTTTCAATTTTGAATTTTCTCATTTTTCGATTTCTCAGTTTTGGGATTTATTTATTTAAATTTTCCAATTTTTGGCATTTCTAAAAGTTTGGATTTTTCGATTTCTCAATTTCTCGATTAACGATTGTTTAATTTTTTGACTTTCCGATTTTTCGTCTTTCCGATTTCTCAATTTTTCGATTTTCCAAATTTCAGTGTTAAAGTTTTGGAATTTTTCAATATGTATTTCGACTTTTAAATTTTTAGATTTTTCGACTTTTTAAATCTTACATTTTTTGATTTTTAAATTTTTTGATTTTTCGATTCGTTGATGTTTTGATTTTTCGAGTTTGCAAATTTTTAATTTTTCCAATTTTTAAATTTTAGATTTTTCACTTTTTTGTTGCGTCAATTTTCTGTCTTTCGATTTTTTGCCTTCTCATTTTTAGATTTTTCGATTTTTCAATGTTTCGGAATTCATTTTTCAGTTTTTGGATACTTCGATCTTTCAAATTTTCGATTTATCGAGTTTTTTAAGTTACAATTTTTCTATTGTGAACTTTCCCATCTTTCGATCTTTAGAATTTTTGGACTTCCCTCAATTTTTAGATGAATGAATTTTTTAATTTTCCGATTTCTCTGTTTAAGTTTTGGGTTTTTTCAATTTTAGGATTTTTCAAGATTTCGATTTTTAAATTTCTGGATTTTTCGACTTTGTTTTTTTTGATTTTTTACTTACTCGATTTTTCAAAATTTTGCGATTCTTTAAATTTTATATTTTTCGATTTATCAGTTTTTTGATTATTTCTCGATTTTTTGTAAATTTTCAAATTTTCGAATTTTTAAATTTTAGATTTTTCACTTTTTTGTTGTTTCCATTTTTCAATTTTTGGCATTTCTAAATTTTTTGATTTCTCAATTTTTCGATTTCTCGATTTCTCACATTTTCAATGTTTAAGTTTTGAGATTTTTCAATATGTCGGTTTTAGACTTTTAAATTTGTCGATTTTTCGAGTTTTCACGGGTTTGATTTTTTACTTATTAGATTTTTTAAAATATCGCGACTGTTTAAATCTTATATTTTTCGATTTCCTGATGTTTTGATTGCTCGATTTCAATTTTTCGGAATTAATTTTTGAGTTTTTCGATATTTCGATTTTTCAATTTAACGATTTTCCTTCGATTTTTCGCCTTCTCGTTTTTAGACTTTCCGGTTTTTCATTTTTTCGGAATTAATTTTTCAGTTTTTCGATGTTTCGATTCGTCACTTTTTCGGTTTATCGGTTTTTTTAGGTTAAAATTTTTCAATTTTGAATTTTCCCATTTTTCCACTTTTAGCCACTTCCATTTCTCAATTTTTAGATTGTTCGACTTCTCCATCTTTTGATGTTTCGATTTCGCGATTTTTCAAATTTTCGAATTCTCAGTTTTTCGATAATTCATCTTTTGGATTTTCCAATTTTTCAACGTTTTAGTTTTGGGATTTATGCAATTCAATTTTCCAATTTTTGGCGTTTCTAAATTTTTGGATCTTTTGATTTCTCAATTTCTCGATTAACGGATTTTTTAATTTTTTCACTTTTCGATTGTTCGTCTTTCCGATTTCTCAATTTTTCGATTTCTCAAATTTTCAATGTTGAAGTTTTGGAATTTCTCAATGTTTTTCGACTTTTACATTTTTAGATTTTTCGACTTTTACTGATTCCATTTTTCAAATTTTTTTAAATGTTTAGATTTTCGACTGTTTTTTTGATTTATTACTTACTCGATTTTTGAAAATTTTGCGACTCTTTAAATCTTATATTTTTCGATTTTTCAGTTTTTTGATTTTTCGATTTGTTGATGTTTTGAGTGCTCGATTTTTTAATTTTCAAAGTTTCGAATTTTTAAATTCTAGATTTTTCACTTTTTTGTTGTTTCCATTTCTCAATTTTTAGTTTTTCGACTTCTCGATCTTTTGATGTATCGATTTCTGTTTTTCAATAATTCATCTTTTCGATTTTTCGATTTTCCAATTTTTTAACGTTTCAGTTTTGGGATTTATTTAAATTTTTGGATTTTTCAATTTCTCAATTTCTTGATTAATGTATTTTTATATTTGTTTGACTTTTCGATTTTTCCTCTTTCTCGATTTCTCAATATTTCGATTTTTATATTTTTATAGATTTCGTTTTCCTATTTTTTTTTGATTTTTTAGTTCTTCGATTTTTCGAAATTTAGCGATTTTTTAAATCTTACATTTTTCGGTTTTTCAATTTTTTGATTTCTCGATTTTGTAAATTTTCAATTTTTCGAATTTTTAAATTTTAGATTTTTCACTTTTTTGTAGTTTCGATTTTTTGCCTTGCTCATTTTTCGATTTTTCGATTTTCCAATTTTTCGGAATTAATTTTTCAGTTTTTCCATGTTTCGATTTTTCAATTCTTCGACGTCTCTTCTTTGATTTCTCGATTTCTCAGTTTTTCGATTATTCGTTTTTTAGATTATTTCAGTTTCCACTTTTTCGACGTTTCAGTTTTAGGATTTATGTATTTAAACTTTTGGATTTTTCAATTTTTGGCGTTTCTAAATTTTTTATTTTCTCTCAATTTCTCGATTAATCGATATTTTAATTTACCGATTTTTCGATTTCTCTATTTAAGTTTTGAGATTTTTCAAGTTTGGGGTTTTTCAAAATTTCGATTTTTAAAATTTTAGATTTTCTGTTTTTTTGATTTTTTACTTATTCGATTTTTCGAAATTTTGCGATTTTTTACATTTTTCAATTTTTCAATTTTTTGATTTTTCGATTCGTTGATGTTTTGATTTCTCGATTTTGTAAATTTTCAATTTTTCGAATTGTTAAATTTTAGATTTTTCATTTTTTGTTGTTTCGATTTTTCAGTCTATCGATGTTTTGCCTTCTCATTTTTAAATTTTTAAATTTTTCGGAATTAATTTTTCAGTTTTTCGATGTTTCGACTTCTCGTTTCTTTCAATTTTTCGATTTCTTTTTCGATTATTCGAGTTACAATGTTTCGACGTTTCAATTTGGGATTTATGTACTTAAATTTTTGGATTTTTCATTTTTTCAATTTTTGGCGTTTCTGAAATTTTGGATTTTCCTAATTTTTTTTATTAATTAATTAATTTTTTAATTTTCCGATTTTTTGATTTCTCTGTTTAAATTTTGGGATTTTTCAAGATTTCGATTTTTAAATTTTTAGATTTTTCGACTTTATTTTTTTTTACACGATTTTTCAAAATTTTGCGACTCTAAATCTTATATTTTTCGATTTTTCAGTTTTTTAATTTTTCGATTTCTTGATGTTTTGATGCTCGATTTTTGAAATTTAAAAATTTTCAATTTTTTTTTGTTTCCATTTCTCAATTTTTTGATTTTTTGTCTTCTCCTTTTTAGATTTTCGGATTTTTCAATTTTTCGAAATTTATTTTTCAGTTTTTCGATATTTCAATTTGGCCATTTTCGATTTTTAGCCACTACCATTTCTCAATTTTTCGACTTCTCGATCTTTTGATGTTTCGATTTCGCGATTTTTCTATTTTCCGATTTAGATTTCTCAGTTTTTCCATAATTCATCTTTTCGATTTTTCGCTTTTCCAATTTTCAACGTTTCAGTTTTGGGATGTTTGTGTTTCAATTTTTCAATTTTTGGCGTTTTTAAATTTTTGGATTTTTCGACTTCCCAATTTCTTGATTAATGGATTTTTATTTTTTTGACTTTTTGATTTTTCGAAATTTTGCGATTTTTTAAATCTTACATTTTTTGAATTAGCAAAATTTCAATTTTTAGAATTTTTAAATTTTAGATTTTTCACTTTTTGTTGTGTCGAATTTTGCTTGCGATTTTTTGCCTTCTCATTTTTAGATTTTTCAATTTTCCGGAATTAATTTTTCAGCTTTTCGATGTTTCGATTTCGCGTTTTTTCAATTTTTCAATTTCAATTTCTCGTTTTCTCAGCTTTTCGATTATTAGAGTTTCCAATTTTTCTACATTTCAGTTTTGGGATTTATATATTTAAATTTTTGGATATCTCTCAATTCCTCGATTAATCGATTTTTTAATTTTCCCATTTTTCGGTTGAAGTTTTGGGTTTTTTCAATTTTGGGATTTTGCAAGATTTCGATTTTTAAATTTTTACATTTTTCGACTTTGTTTTTTTTCATTTTTTTTTACACGATTTTTCAAAATTTTGCGACTTTTTAAATCTTATATTTTTCGATTTTTCAGTATTTTGATGTTTCATTTCTTGATGTTTTGATGCTCGATTTTTGAAATTTTCAAATTTTCGATTTTTTTTTGTTGTTTCCATTTCTCAATTTTTTGATTTTTTGTCTTCTCCTTTTTAGATTTTCGGATTTTTCAATTTTTCGAAATTTATTTTTCAGTTTTTTTGCCATTTTCGATTTTTAGCTACTACCATTTCTCAATTTTTTCGACTTCTCGATCTTTTGATGTTTCGATTTCGCGATTTTTCTATTTTCCGATTTAGATTTCTCAGTTTTTCCATAATTCATCTTTTCGATTTTTCGCTTTTCCAATTTTCAACGTTTCAGTTTTGGGATGTTTGTGTTTCAATTTTTCAATTTTTGGCGTTTTTAAATTTTTGGATTTTTCGACTTCCCAATTTCTTGATTAATGGATTTTTATTTTTTTGACTTTTTGATTTTTCGAAATTTTGCGATTTTTTAAATCTTACATTTTTTGAATTAGCAAAATTTGAATTTTTAGAATTTTTAAATTTTAGATTTTTCACTTTTTGTTGTGTCGAATTTTGCTTGCGATTTTTTGCCTTCTCATTTTTAGATTTTTCAATTTTCCGGAATTAATTTTTCAGCTTTTCGATGTTTCGATTTCGCGTTTTTTCAATTTTTCAATTTCGATTTCTCGATTTCTCAGTTTTTCGATTATGCGTCTTTTCGATTATTAGAGTTTCCAATTTTTCTACATTTCAGTTTTGGGATTTATATATTTAAATTTTTGGATATCTCTCAATTCCTCGATTAATCGATTTTTTAATTTTCCGATTTTTCGGTTGAAGTTTTGGGTTTGTTCAATTTTGGGATTTTGCAAGATTTCGATTTTTAAATTTTTAGATTTTTCGACTTTGTTTTTTTGATTTTTTTTTTACACGATTTTTCAAAATTTTGCGACTTTTTAAATCTTATATTTTTCGATTTTTCAGTTTTTTGATGTTTCATTTCTTGATGTTTTGATGCTCGATTTTTGAAATTTTCAAATTTTCGATTTTTTTTTGTTGTTTCCATTTCTCAATTTTTTGATTTTTTGTCTTCTCCTTTTTAGATTTTCGGATTTTTCAATTTTTCAAAATAAGTTTTTCGATATTTCAATTTTGCCATTTTCGATTTTTAGCCACTACCATTTCACAATTTTTCGACTTCTTGATCTTTTGATGTTTCGATTTCGCGATTTTTCAATTTTCCGATTTCGATTTCTCAGTTTTTCCATAATTCATCTTTTCGATTTTTCGCTTTTCCAATTTTCAACGTTTCAGTTTTGGGTTTGGGATGTATGTGTTTCAATTTTTCGATTTTTCAATTTTTGGCGTTTTTAAAGTTTTGGATTTTTCGACTTCCCAATTTCTCGATTAATGGATTTTTAATTTTTTTACTTATTCTATTTTTCGTAATTTTGTGACTTTTTAAATCTTACATTTTTTGATTTTGGAAATTTTCAATTTTTCGAATTTTTAAACTTTAGATTTTTCACTTTTTGTTGTTTCGAATTTTGTCTTTCGATTTTTTGCCTTCTCATTTTTAGATTTTTCAATTTTTCATTTTCGATTTCTCGATTTCTCAGTTTTTCGATTATGCGTCTTTTCGATTATTAAAGTTTCCAATTTTTGGCGTTTTTAAATTTTTGGATATATCTCAATTTCTCGATTTTTTAATTTTCCGATTTTTCGATTTCTCTGTTGAAGTTTTGAGTTTTTTCAATTTTGGGATTTTGTAAGATTTCGATTTTTAAATTTTCAACTTCCTGTTTTTATATCTTACATTTTCAACATTTTCATCCATTCAATACTTTAATTTTTGGATTTTTTAGACGTAAAAATTTTTGATGTTTCAATTTTTCGGTTTTGACAAGATTTTGATTTCTCCTTCAAAAACGAAACATCACAAATTAAAAAAAAAAAAAAACACTAGGAGCCCCTAAAATTCTTTCCAAATAAAGAACTCCACGCATCCTCAAAATTTTTTAAAAGTATTTTAAAATACGGAACACGAGGTAAAATTGGTCCAAAGTTCTTTAGACAGATCTTTCTCGCCTCTAAAGTAAAGATGTGTATTATCAGTACATGTTTAACTTCAATTGTTTATGCTTACACATCGAAAGAATGCGACAATTAAGCACGCAGCAAATTACATTACGGTATTCTAAAATTTTCGAGCCCCGGCGTCCTCCACAAACCAGTGCTCGAAATAAAAAAGTGAAAAATCGAATAATTTAGAAGTCAAAGTTTTTTCTTCATTCCAACATCAAATATATACTCACGTTAATTACCTCTTTGTTCGCATTGCCATTTTCCAATCCAATTTTCGAATATTCCGGATCACGAAAATCGGGCTGAATCCTCAAGGCCGTATCAACCACCGAATTAGCATCTCCAGACTGAATAGCAGTATCACATGCTTCAATTGCATCGTTCATCTGTCGGGTTTGTTCTTGCAATTGAGTGATTAAAGCTTTCGTCTAAACAACAATTAAAAAAAAAAAAATTAATCAATCAATGCATCCACATTTCGACATCCAATACCTGACTTATGCTAAGTTGAGTATCCTGTAAATTTGTTGTAAGACTTTCTAACTTCACATCGCTCTCTCTCTTCTGCTGTTCCAACCGTTGTTCCTCTTTCCGCAGACCCTCCAACTGTTCCTTCTTAGAATTCAACTCAGACTCTTGTGCTGCGACGGCCTCCGCTTGTTCAGCTGCTTGAGCTCGCAACTTATCTACCTACAACACGACGTTTTTTAAGTGTTAACATAATAAAAATGTTACACAAAACATCAAATCAACCATCACCGGCGCATAGCTCAGCACACTCAGTAATTTAGTAACAACACTTACCTTTAGCATATCTTCCTCTATTTCCCTTACGATAATTTCCATCTCCCTGTCTATTTCAGATTTCTAGTAAATAAAAAAGTCAACATGCCAAAACTAATCTATGTAAAAATGCCTACAACTTAGGAATTAAAAGTAGCAACGGATTTTTTGCTGAAGAATTTACAAAAAACATTCGTAACGAAAAATCAAAAATGATAAGTGGATGCAAGCGTTAATCGTAGCAACAAACAAAACAAAAGCTTTGCGAAGCAAAACATGTTTTTGTAAATCGTGAAATACGTCCGACAATTACCTGAGATCTGAGATCGTTTAAGCGTTTTTGGGCTTCACCTTTTTGGTTCTCCAACTGCTTAAGGGTCGCCGCCAGGGTATCAAGTTCGCTCTAGAACAGAAAATTAAACATGAAAAAGAATCTTTAATCTTTAATCTTTATTGATCATTCTACAGGTAAAAACCCAGTTACAGAGATCAAAGTGTACAATATAAAATACAATACATGACACAATAAAATGACAGGGTATACATAATAGAGACAATAGAACGTTTCACGATTCCACAACACTTAAAGCGGCACGAGCATGATTTAAAATCGAATTTATTGAGTCATGGTGTAAATCACAATCTTGACAAAGAACGTTGTATGTGGACATCAATAGTGCTACTGGAGCTTTGACTGCTACATTGGTACGGCTGTAAGAGAGCTTGAACAACGCAGTCCAGGACGAGGAACATTAAACCGAAGGGAACCCAAGATAAAGGGGCAATCAATTTTACCATGAGCTAACTTATATAGGAAACGCAGACTGTTAACATTCTTCGAGTTTCTAGAGAAGAAAATTGAAATCTATTCAAGAGAATCTTGTAATCGATGCCACGTACAGGATAAGCACCGTCCATTCTGAAGGCGAGAAATTTTAAAAAACGTCGTTGCACTTTTTCAATGGACATATTATATGTTCTATAGATGGGGTACCAGATCAACGCACCATATTCAAGGTGAGGTCGCACCAATGAGCAAAACAGGGTATTCAAAATGGTCAAATTGGTAAAATTTCGACAGTTTCGATATATAAAACCGTAGATTTTGAATGCCTTATTGATAGCATTAAATATATGCTCTTTAAACATAAGTTGAGCATCAAACAGGATACCTAGATCTTTAAAATTGAAATTGCGGTGTAATACTGTTCCTTCAATTGAATATGGGTATATATTGTAATTGAGTTTTTTTGTAAAGGATACAATACTGCATTTAGATAAATTTAGGCGAAGACGATTAGAACTACACCACTTGGATAGAACATTGAGACAATTTTGTAATGTGACACAGTCAGCAATTGACACGATTTCCATGAAGATCTTTAAATCGTCAGCGAAGAGCAATTTATTACAGGGTTCCAGCGCGTCAGTAATATCATTGATGTACATTAGAAATAAAAGGGATCCAAGGTTGGATCCTTGGGGGACACCTGATGTTGAGACAAAAACTATAGATTTAAATTTACGATGTACAACTTGTTGACGCCTATTGAGAAGATAAGATTTCAGAAGAGCAAGAAGAGTGTTAGAGAAAGCAAAGGTTTCAAGTTTCTTAAGCAGGACGTAGTGATCAATTTGATCGAAGGCCTTCTGAAAATCCGTATATATAACATCAACTTGACTATTTCTATCTAGCGCATTAGAAGCGAACTGAGAGAAACATGCTAGATTAGTAATGGTGGATTTTCCTTGCATAAACCCATGCTGATATTCAGAAATATAATTTTTAACAGAAGCATAAATACGAGCATACAAGATGCTCTCAAATACTTTGGAAAAATTGCATAAGATGGATATGGGCCTATAGTTTGTGACTTGGGAGGGATCCCCTTTCTTTAGTACCGGACAGATTTGTGCCAATTTCCAGATATTAGGAAATGTAGATGACTTCAACATAATATTAAAGATATGTGAAAGCGGTTTAGAGAGAACATGGGCACAATCTTTTAATAAAAAACTTGGGATGCTGTCAGGTCCAGAAGTCACAGAGTTCTTCATACGCTTCAATTCTCCAATAATTTCATCTTCAGATATATATGTAACCGATACTGTGTTGTTAACTTTCGTGAAAATAACATCGTCTGTGAGAGGTGAAGAGTCAATCAAAACACTTTTGAAGTAATCAGCAAAGGAGTTAACAATAATATTAGGATCAGTGTTGCATTCATCGTTGTAAAACATTGTACCGGGAATACGCGTAACACCTCTCTTTGAGCGGACAAAGGACCAAAATTTTTTTGGATCCAGGGTAATGTTCTTTTCCATCTGCAATAGGTATTCGGTATATGCGTTAGTGATGAGTTTCTTAGCATCAGATCTAAGTTTGCGAAACTGGTCATGAAAGTACAGTTTATGAGTCTTCACATATTTACTACGCATGACCGATTTGAGTCGAAGACATTTTATAATTTCTTTGTGGAACCAAGGAGGGTATATGCGTCGTGTTTTCTTGGAAGAGCCAACTTTGGGCACGCACAAATCAAATAGAGAATATAAGACAGTGTACATGTGTTCACAGGCGTCATCGACATTGCTAAAATTGTATATATTGGACCAGTCATAATTTAATAATAAGTCATAAAGGCAAGGAAAATCAGCTTTTCTAAAATTAAAACCAGCGTCATCAGAGTTAAAACAGAAATTGCTACTTTTCTTGCAAGGCACCAAATCAATATGGAATAATAATGTAGGATGAAGTGGATCTTCTGGTACCAGGAAAAAATCAGATCTCAAAACGGTGCAGGGAAACATAGAAAATATAAGGTCAAGCAAATTGTCGTAGTTATTCAGAATATGATTATATTGGCAGAAGCCGCAAAATGATACAAAGTTATTAAGGCAGTGACTGAAGTTATTGTTTAATTCGGATCCAAACTTAGGAGTATTAAAATCACCTACGAAGAGAACAAGATTGTTATGGATTTGATCAAGACTGCTAACGAGATCAAAGAAATCCACATAATCAGTAATAGATACAGATGGAGGGATATAAACAGTAAAGATAAAAAGATGCAAGTAATTGGAGAGAAAGATTTCAATTCCCACAAAGTCGATGGATGGAATAGCGTTGGTAATATTGGAAACGTCAACTGTACAACACGAAAACTTGTTATTGATGGCAATCAAAACTCCACCACCTCTGACAGCACCCAGATATTTATACTTTCGATCACAGCGAAAGATGCAATAGTTGTCAGGAAATAGTTCTGAATTTGCAACGTCCTCATGCAACCATGTTTCAGTAAGAATTAAAACGTCGACCTCGTCAACACAAGATAATAAGTTGTTAGAAAATGAGTCAAATTTGGAGTTTAAGCCTCTGACATTCTGATATAAAAAGCTCAGAGTCGTAGTGGTGAAAGTACGATTAAGTGAAGTGTTTTGAATTAGAGAATTGGATGCCGTTAGACGTGAAACTAAGTTATTTTTATTTAAAATTTGGGAACGCAGACGAACCGACTCGAAAAAACTGAGGTTTACCGTGCATAGAAGTTGACTTATTGATTGGAGTGGTAAATATTTCATTTCTAGGAGCTAAAGTATAATGTTGGCATTTTATCGGAGAAATAGGTGCAGTGTTTAGGGCATCAACATTGCTTCGAGACAAGTAATTAACAAGAGAAAATATTATAGTTCTCTTAGTAGCGTCATTGATGGAAATATGAGATTGAAACTGTCTAAATATAAATTTATTTGCATCAAGGAAAAATATATTATTATGCGTATTGGATGTTGCAATTTTATGTAATTGACAATTAATCTCATATGCAAATTTGTTTAAGACGGGACGATCTGGCGAAAATGGATAACCAATAAGAATAATCTTAGTATTTTTAAATTTGTCAGAAGCTAAGTCGTTGAAAATATCATGATTCAGTATTTTGCCACTCGATACTTCTACATCTCCGCCAAATATCATAACGAAATCTTGACAGTGAACCGTCGAAATATTATCGGCAATTATCTTTTCAAAAGATGCATTGGGCTTGATTATGGAAGAAACGTCGTATTCATTGTGTGATAGATATTCGTTAAGTAATTTGACACAATTACGTCCCTTACCATCAGCCAGTAAAATAATTTTACGTCGATTAAATAGTTGGGTCTTGGGCAGATACGGTTTATCAGTTTCAGAGGGTGTACAAGCAGGTGTTTGGTTAGTAGAAATTGACCCTAAGTTGGTTTTAAAAATAGTATCTACCACAGGCTTAAAACCATCAAATTCTTGTCTAACAGACGCCGTAATAGATGATTTTAGATCATCACGTAAATTCTCAAATAACATGGATACGCGTTCCTCAACTTCATCTAAAATATGTTTAACAGAATCCTTGAAGGACTTCTTCAATTCATCAAGTTCCGCTCTAAGAAACTCGTTCTGTTCACGCAGGAGTGTGATCGTCGTATTTTCAAGGTCAATTTTACTGGATTTATCACATCGAGGACAGGAGTTAATTGAATTTACATCATCAGCAATTAACGAATAATTTTTGAAGGAACGCAAACAGCTCAAATGAAATACATTCTTACATTTAGTACAAGTTGTAGAATTAACCACCAAACTCTTACATTTACAACAAACAGAATTCATTATGTATACAAAAAGAATAATTTTTGAAAATTAAATTTTGGATTAAAAGATTAAAAGACGGGGACACACACTTCACCCCTACGGTGCTTTTCGTGGGGACTTATTAAAGAAACAGACAAGAAAGCAACGGAGAGGTTATGATGTGTAAGATCAAAACAGAGGTTAAGAGGTTAAAAAAGGACCGACATTTAGCAAGCAAATAAAAACTTACAATGAAAAACCAGTTTTTTACACAAGAAAAGAAAACTCAAGTTTCACTAACATTACTTTAAATATTAACAAATAAACAGTAATAATTACGACAACAGTAATAAGTTCACTTGTATCACACACCACGGTTCGTTAAGAAAATTATAGTTGGTTGTTTGACTTACCTGCAGACTTTTAATTTCGCCGCTCTTTATTTTAATGTCCGCTTCTTTTTGTGCAATGTCCGTTTCTAAAGCTAACTTTTCCCTAACCAATTCTTCAATGTCCTTACTGATCATATCCAGTTCGGGATTCGAGTATCGTGTGTTGTTGTTTTCCTAACAAAAAATAAAAACAATCAAATATGCATAAAAAAATGAAAATGACAGCATTGTCATAAATGAAGGTAAAATGTTTAGTAAAGATTTTGATTTTTACGCTGCTTGTTTCTCCTGCGAGCACAATTTTCAGTAATGCTCTGAAAAAATTAAAACAAAAATCCAAAGAAGCGTATAAAAAAAAGTTCGGAAAAGATAAAACGTGGCACTTTTTAGGACATGATTTAACCGAATTCCCTGGAACAAACGAAAATTATAGACAAATAAACAAAGAAAAATGGGATGAATATTACGCCTGTCTTATGGCGCAGAATACAAATCTGGGACGAACTATGTCCATCACTCCTGAATCTCTCCAAATATTTGAATCTACGTCAGTTAGGTAACCACTAAGTAATTGTAAGATTATAAAATAAGTAGCATTAATATAGACTCGATTGTAAATTATGTCTAAGTCCTGAAGAAAGCACAAGGATTGATTTAGTGAAATGGTACTGGGCTAGTCTGGGAGACAAAAAACTTCGACCAGTCGACTATACAGAAACAGTTTTGTTATCACAGTCGAGCGGCTCTCTTCAACTGTACAATCTTCAAAAGCAACAAAGCGGACAATACGTTTGCCGCATAGCAAAAGTCGCAGCTCCACCCTATTTTTTAACAGTAGTTGAAAGTTCGGACGAAGACTTGGAAGAAGTAAATACAAAAAAACATAGTTTTAATGTAATAAATTGTTTGAAGGTGCATGCACTTGAAGCCCCTTCTGGTCCTTATCCTCGAAAACCCTACGTAATCCCTGGTTTTAATTTAATCGTCGACACAGAATGGACTCCTTGGACTTCATGCACCAAGTGCAACCAAATCGGTCGAAGATACCGCATCGGTTATTGTGTCGTTAAATACCAAGAAAATACAACTACGATTAACACCGACAACGCTACAAACACAACAGAAACTATTAATATTCCGGAAAAAGATTACGAATTACTACAAATATTTAAATTTGGTGTTTCTTGTCAATCTCATTTACTCCCACAATCTGTAAAACAGATAAATGCTGTGGCGACCAGTAAAAATCAAGTTATGGCAGGATATTGTAAGGTACATTTTTATACAGTTTCCAATTCAATTTAATTTAATTGATACAATACACTATCAGACTTCATGTCCAGAAAATAAGGTGTTTGAGGTGCGCGACAAAAATGGGAATGTCATTGAACGCGCTAACAATTCTGCTGGAATTTACTCAGTTCTACAAGGAATACCGTCGATACAGCCTTCAGTTACACGGTTTCTGCAATATGAGGAAAAAGGCAAACATGTTGTGTTATCTTGTCCGGGGTATTAATGCATAAAAATGAGTATTTTTATTATATTTTGTCGTAATTTTTAGAAACCTGAATTCGGATGTTCCGGTCGAATGGCAAATCGGTTCCAGGAAGCTTATTCCTGAGCTTTTAGTAAGTGAATCGCAGGGAAGAATGTACATAAGCATCACCGATAAAATTCACATTAAGGATGCCAAAATTTCGGATACCAATATTTACAGGTAAGATAAATAATAGAAAATTGGTCTAAAGTTTCTGGACGGAATTTTCATGACAAATTCTGAATGCATTTTACAGCATAATTTTCAATAAAAATTTATTCGTTGATTGTTCGTATGGATAAACATTTTAGTTTAATTTCATTAAGAATTTGAAAAAACGAGAACTTATTAATCGAGAATTCGAAAAATGCAGTCAGAAATTTCAGAAATTCGGAAATTGAAACATGTACAATCCGAAAAATAGAACAATAAAAAAAACGAAACATCGAAAGAAATATCGAACTATCGAGAATCGAAACTCGACAAATCCAAAAGTTAAAATGATAATTGGAAAAATCGGAGAACCAAAAAAATGAATAATCGACAAAACGAAAAAAAAAAAAACAAAAAATTTGAAAAATCTAAAAATTGAGAAATCGGGATATTTAGAAATCAAAAAATTGAGGAATCGAAAAAGCAAAAAAACGAAAGTTGAGAACTCAAGAAATCGAAGTATCGGAAATCCAAAAATCATACAATACAAAAACGAAAAATTAAGAATTCGAAAAATCAAGATGAATTCAAATTCCGAAAATTCGAACAATCAAAAAAATGAAAAATTGGGAATTCTCAAAATCAAAATTTGCAAAATTGAGAAATTGAGAATTGAGAAATCGAAAACTAAGCAATCGTACAATCGAAAAAAAAGCAAAAATCTGAAAAATCTAAAAACTGAAAGTTGGGAACAAAAAATCGAAGTATCGAAAATCGACAATTAAATACAACAAACACCCCAAAAATTAAGAATTCGAAAAATCAAGATGGAAATTTGAAAAATCGATAAACCCAAAAATCCAAATTCCGAAAATTCGAACAATCTAAAAAATGAAAAATTGGGAATTCTAAAAATCAAAATAAAAACCTGAAAAATCGAGAAATTGAGAAATCGAAAATTGAGCAAATGGTACAATCGAAAAAAATCAAAAATCTGAAAAATCTAAAAATTGAGAAATCAAGAAATTGAGGAATCGAACAATTTAAAATTGAAAAATTGAAAATTGGGAACTCAAAAAATCGATGAATCGAAAATCGACTATTAAATACATAAAACAAAAACGAAAAAATGAAAAATTGGGAATTCGAAAAATCAAGATGAAAATTGGAAAAATCGAAAAACCCACAAATCCAAATTCCGAAAATTCGAACAATCGAAAAAATGAAAAATTGGGAATTCGAAAAATCAAAACGAAAATTAGAAAAATCGACAATTCGAAAAATAAAAAAAATAGAGAATTCGAAAAATCGAGAAATTGAGAAATCGAGGACCAGAAAAATTGAAGCATCGAAGAATCGAACAATCGAAAAAACCAAAAATCGATAGTTGGGAACTCAAGAAATCGAAAAATCATACAATACACGAAAAATCATACAATACAAAAACGAAAAATTAAGAATTCCAAAAATCAAGATGAATCCAAATTCCGAAAATTCGAACAATCTAAAAAATGAAAAATTGAGAATTCTAAAAATCACAATAAAAATTTGAAAAATCAAGAAATTGAGGAATCGAACAATTGAAAAGCGAAAAATTGAAAATTGGGGACTCAAAAAATCGAAGTATCGAAAATCGACAATTAAATACAATAAAAAAAAACGAAAAATTAAGAATTCGAAAAAACAAGATGAAAATTTGAAAAAATCGAAGAAGCCCAAACATTCAAATTCCGAAAATTCGAACAATCGAAAAAATGAAAAATTGAGAATTCGTAAAATCAAAACGAAAATTAGAAAAATCGACAATTCGAAAAATAAAAAAATTGAGTTTTCGAAAAATCGAGAAACTGAGAAATCGAGAACCAGAATTCGAGGACCAGAAAAAGTGAAGCGTCGGAAAATCGAACAATCGAAAAAACGAAAAATCGAAAGAAATAACGAACTATGGAGAATCGAAACTCGAAAAATCCAAAAATCAAAATGATAAAACTAGAAAAATAGGAAAACCAAAAAAAAATGAAAAGGCGAAAAAACTAAAAAAAAAAAACAAAAAGCAAAAATCTGAAAAATCTAAAAATTGAAAAATCAAAAAATTGAGGCATCGATCAATCGAAAAAGCAAAAAATCGAAAGTTGCGAACTCAAGAAACCGAAGTATCGGAAATCGAAAAATCATACAATACAAAAACGAAAAATTAAGAATTCGATAAATCACGATGAATCCAAATTCTGAAAATTCGAACAATCTAAAAAATGAAAAATTGGGAATTCTAATAATTAAAATAAAAATTTGAAAAATCGAGAAATTGAAAATTGTGAAATTGAAAACTGAGCAATCGTACAATCGAAAAAAAAAGCAAAAATCTGAAAAATCTAAAAATTGAGAAATCAAGATATTGAGAAATCAAGAAATTGGGGAATCGAACATTTGAATAGCGAAAAATTGAAAATTGGGAACTTAAAAATCGAAGTATCGAAAATCGACTATTAAATACAATTAAAAAAAAAACGAAAAATTAAGAATTCGAAAAAAACGAGATGAAAATTTGAAAAATCGAAGAACCCAAACAAGCAAATTCCGACAATTCGAACATTCGAAAAAATGAAAAATTGGGAATTCTAAAAATCAAAATAAAAATTTGAAAAATGGAGAATTGAGAAATCGAAAACTCAGCAATCGTAAAATCGAAAAAAAAGCAAAAATCTGAAAAATCTAAAAATTAAGAAATCAAAATATTGAGAAATCAAGAAATTGAGGAATTCACCAATTGAAAAACGAAAAATTGAAAACTGGGAACTCAAAAATTGAAGTATCGAAAATCGACAATTAACTACAATAAAAAAACGAAAAATTTAAGAATTCGGAAAATCAAGATGAAAATTTGAAAAATCGATAAACTCAAATTCCGAAAATTCGAACAATCTAAAAAATGAAAAATTGGGAATTCTAATAAAAATCAAAATGAAAATTTGAAAAATCGAGAAATTGAAAATTGAGAAATCAAGATGTTGCGAAATCGAGAAATTGAGGAATCGAACAATTGAAAAGCGAAAAATTGAAAACTCAAAAAATCGAAGTATCGAAAATCGACAATACAATAAAAAAAAACGAAAAATTAAGAATTCGAAAAAACAAGACGAAAATTTGAAAAATTGATAAACCCAAATTCAGAAAATTCGAACAATCTAAAACATGAAAAATTGGGAATTCTAAAAATCACAATAAACATTTGGAAAATCGAGGAATTGAGAATTGAGAAATCGAAAACTGAGCAATCGTACAATCGAAAAAAAGCAAAAATCTGAAAAATCTAAAAATTGAGAAATTAAGAGATAGAGGATCAAACAACTGAAAAGCGAAAAATTGAAAATTGGGAACTCAAAAAATCGAAGTATCGAAAATCGATTAAAATTAAATACAATAAAAAAAACGAAAAATTACGAATTAGAAAAAACAAGATGAAAATTTGAAAAATCGAAGAACCCAAACATCCAAATTCCGAAAATTCGAACAATCGAAAAAATAAAAAATAGGGAATATCGAAAAACCCACAAATCCAAATTCCGAACATTCGAACAATCGAAAAATGAAAAATTGAGAATTCTCGAAAAATTAAAAAAAGAGAATTCGAAAAATCGAGAAATTGAGAAATCGAGAACCAGAATTCGAGGATCCGAAAAATTGAAACATCGAACAATCGAAAAATCGAAAGAAATATCGAACGATCGAGAATCGAAACTCGAAAAATCCAAAAACTAAAAAAAAAGGCAAAAATCTGAAAAATCTAAAAATTTAGAAATCAAAAACTTGAGGCAGAGAACAATCGAAAAAGCAAAACATCCAAAGTTGGTAACTCAAGAAATCCAAGTATCGGAAATCGGAAAATCATACAATATAAAAACGAAAAATTGGCAATTCTAAAAATCAAGATGAATCCAAATTCCGAAAATTTGAACAATCGAAACAATGAAAAATTGGCAATTCTAAAAATCAAAATAAAATTTTGAAAAATCGGAAACTTGAGAATTGAGAAATCGAAAACTGATCGATCGTACAATCGAAAAAAAAATCTGAAAAATCTATAAATTGAGAAATCAAGATATTGAGGAATCAAACAATTGAAAAGCGAAAAATTGAAAATTGGGAACTCAAAAATCGAAGTATCGAAAATCAACTATTAAGTACAATAAAAAAAAAACGAAAAATCAAGAATTCGAAAAAACAAGATGAAAATTTGAAAAATCGAAGAACCCAAAAATCGAAATTCCGAAAATCCGAACAATCGAAAAAATGAAAAATTGGAAAAATCGAAAAACCCAGATCCAAATACTGAAAATTCGAACAATCGAAAAAATGAAAAATTGGGAAATCGAGGATCACAATTCGAGGACCCGAAACATCGAAGAATCGAACAAGCGAAAAAACGAAAAATCGAAAGAAATAACGAACTATCGAGAATCGAAACTAGAAAAATCCAAAAATCAAAATGATAATTGGAAAAATCGGAAAACCAAAAAAATGATCAATCGAACAATCGAAAAAGATAAATCCAAATTCCGAAAATTTGAACAATCGATAAAATGAAAAATTGGGAATTCTAAAAATCAAAATAAAAATTTGAAAAATCGAAAAATTGAGAATTGAAAAATCGAAAAATTGAGAATTGAAAAATCGAAAACTGAGCGATCGTACACTCGAAAAAAAAAACAAAAATCTGAAAAATCTATAAATTGAGAAATCAAGATATTGAGGAATCGAACAATTGAAAAGCGAAAAATTGAAAATTGGGAACTCAAAAAACTGAAGTATCGAAAATCGACTATTAAATAAAATAAAAAAAAAAAAAAAAAACGAAAAATAAAAAAAATTGAGAATTCAAAAAATCCAGAAATTGAGAAATCGAGAACCCGGAATTCGAGGATCCGAAAAATTGAAACATCGAAGAATCGAATAATAGAAAAATTAAAAATTGAAAATTTATGAAATTCCAATATCAACAGTTGGTAAATCGGAAAACTGCCAAATTTAAAAATGAAAATTCGAAGAAAACGTGTCATAAAATTGTGGAGACAAAAGAAAAATGAAAAATTGCAAATGAAAAAATTGAGAAATCGGAAAGCCTAGAATTCGAGAATTTGAAAAATTGAAACATCTAAAAACCGTAAAATCAAAAAATCAAATTTTTGTATAATCTAAAAATCGATAATCGAGAAACTGAGTTTCGAGAAATTGAGAATTGAAAAATCCAGGAATTAAACAATCGAAAAGACGAAAATTCGAAAGTTGATAACTCGAAATATCGAACTATCGACAATCGAAACTCGAACAATCCAAAAACAAAAAATCGAATAAACGAAAAAGCAAAAATCTGAAAAATCTAAAAATTGAGAAATCTAGATATCGAACACTCGAAAAATGGAGAAATTGAAAATTCGTAAAATAAAAAAAATCGAAGGATCGAACAATAGAAAAATTGAAAACTGATGAAATTGCAGATCTAAAAATTGCAAAATTTAAAAAAAAAAACTGCGAAGTTTAAAAATGAAAACTCGAAAAGTCGTACAGTTTCCTAAAAAGACAAAAGAAAAATGAAAAATTGAAAATCAAAAATTATAAAACCGGAAAATTGTAAAATAAAAAAAATAATAATAAAGAGAAACGTGAAATTGCAAATCGAAAATTTGAATAAATAAAAAATTAAAAAATCGAAAAACTGAAAAATTAAAATTTGAAAATCGAGAAATTTTAAATCGAAAATTGCAAAATCTAAAAATTGGAAAAATGAAAACTCGAACGAAATACCGGGAAAATTAAAGAACTGAAAAATTCTTCTATAGATACGGGTTTTAAGAAAACAAAAATCGCAAAATTTGTTTATAATTTTTCAAAGAAACGGGATTCTCTAGAGTTATAATTTGTCCTTTTTGAATTTTGATATCCCCATTTGGAAAAAGTGATTAACTGTTAAATGCATACGGTCTGTATAAAATTCGGCAAATACATTTCGGTAATTATTTTCATTTAAGGGTTCTATTTTCACACAAAATATTAAACTTCAGATATCGAAAAGTCGATAAATTTTAAAAATAGAAAAGCTAACATGGCAAAATTAAAAATTGAAACATTCAAAATATCGAAAAATTAAAACCGAGAAATTGAACAATCGGATAATTGAAAAATAGAAACATCGAAAAATTTAAAAAAATGGAAAATCGAAAATTTAAAAAATTGAAAAAACTAAAGTTTAAAAAACTAAAAATTGAAAATCCAAACAGTAAAAAGTGAAGAAATCGAAATATCCAGAATTACAAAAATTGAAGAACTGAAAGATCGAAACTTTGGGAAGTCGAGAAATGGGAAAATAAAAAATAGATTAATTGAGAAATCGGAAATCTGAAATTCTGAAACGTCAAAATTTGAAAAATTAAAAAATATTGGAAGAACTGAAAAATCGAAAAACCTAAAATTTAAAACATTAAAAAATTAAAATATCGTAAAATTGAAAAATTGAGAAAAGTAAACATCAAAAAATCAAAAAAATAAAAATTGGAAAATCTAAAATTTAAAAATCGAAAACCTGAAAAATCAACAAATCGAGAAATCGAAACTTGAAAATAAAAAAATTGGGAAATTGAAATATAGAAAAATCGAAAAGCTGAAAAGTAAAAAAACCGACAAATCGATCGAGAAATTGAGGGGTCGAAAGGTCGAGAAGTGGAAAAATAAAAAAATTGAGAAACCGAAATAGGCCAAAAACGAAAAATCGAAAACTCAAAAATTGAAAAATTGGTAAATCAAGCGATTGAACTATCAAAACATCGGAACATCCGCATCTCGATAAACCGAGATCTGAAAAAATTGAAAAATTAAAAAATTAAAATATCGAAAAGTTGAAAAATTGAGAAATCGAAATGTAAAACAGTCGAAAAATTGAGAAATCTAAAGTTTAAAAAACGAAAAAATAAAAAATCGAAAAATTCAGAAATCGAAAAATCGAAAATTCTACGAGACGAAATATTGAAAAATCCCAAAACTGAAAGTAATATCAAAAATTGAGACATTAAAAACTTGGAAAATTGAGAAAAACCAAAAAAGCAAAGTCGAAAATTTGAAGAACCAAAGAACTGAAAAATCCAAACTTGGAGAAATCGAGAAAAATCAAAAATAGATTAGTTGAGAAATCGGAAAACTGAAAATTTAGCAACGTCAAAATTTTAAAAATTGAAAAATAGAAATATGTACTGAAGTTCAGTCCTATCTTGGCAAGTTTTAGCCCCGCCCACCCACCCTTTTTTTTTTCTTAGAGGATGTCATTGCCAAAATCAATCTCATCGCCCACACACGCTGTTCTCATTCTAATGATTTCGAATTCGGCGGGTGGGCGGGGTGAATTACATATACATATACAAAGTGAGAATTGGAACTAATAGAACGTATGCTGTTAAAAAAAAGCGTTAATCGTAATTTTTTTATTGTACTACTTATTTGCTATAACATTTATTTCTTATTTCTGAAGAAAAAAATGAGAGAACGGGTGGGTGGGCGGGGCTAAGTTTAACTTTTTCCTACAGAATATTTTTTAAGAAAGCGATAGCCCCGCCCACCCACCCCCTCTTCATTCCAGTGAATACTCTCAATATTGTTCAGTAATTCAAGCATTTTTATCTTAGCAAGTACTATACGATTTATATTATTTTTAATTTTTTACAACTGTTTATACAGGATGCTGAAGATAAGCAAAATAATAATTATTCTGCGAAATTTTGTGTAAGTAAATTTATGCAAATTATTAAACTAAACTTACAAGAGCATGTCACAATATAAATTTCAAAGAAGATTTACTTCGCAAAATTTTTAGATGACTTGATCAAAACTTGGTGGGGTTAAAACAATTTTTTTTCGCTAAAATTTTACAAGCAGCACCAGCTTCAAATGTATCAAGTGACTTGTTTTCATTATGCTTTGTACAATAAATTTGTTGCACTTAAAAATTGTATTGAAAATATTTGTCAACAATTTTCAACTGTTAATATATGTTGATTTTAATTTCAGTTGTTGGCAGCGTCACGACTTAGCCGGAACCGTAAGACTAATAGTGGAAAAACGACTTTCTTTGAACTTTAATCATCACCTCATGCTATTTGGTGCAGTTTTAGTATTTTCAGTGATACTGTATGTCTTCATAAAAGCTTGTTTTCGACAAAAGACTATAAAGAAACTAAAATAACGAAAAAAGAGCCATCACTTACTACAATTCCATCTGGTTTAACAGACCGAAAACTAGGAGGAACCATATCAGAGGTCAACACTGCTGGCGGTTCTATTCCTTTTAGGCACCTTGCAACAAACCACATGGCTAACGCAAATTGTTCATTATTTAGTTTCCCACTTTGTTTAATATCACATAACGCCCTAAAAATCACCGTTAAAACGTCACAATAAAAATATTTCTTACTTACCAAATGTGAGCCAAAACATGTTGTGGTACCCCTGATTGAAGAAACACGTTTTTAATTTCTTGTCCTGACACAAATCCATCTTTATCAATATCACTTTTTATGAACAGAGCGTCAGATTTGGCCTTCTCGTCTGGTGTTACAACCCACGGAATTGTCGGTTGGACAGTCTGAACGGGTTTTAATGGTGGAATAACAGAAGTTGCAGTCGGTGGTGGAGGAATATCAGGTTTAACCCCGTCTAAACTTCTGTTCAGTAAAGTGGTTGCAACGTGATGACTATTTTTCGTTTTTGCAGGGGGCATAAGTTCGACAGGAAGAGTATTTGGTATTGCATACTTATCAAGTGCTTTATAAACTAAATGCATAGCCTAAAACTTGTAACATTAAAAAAAATAAAAAATAGCGGTCTATACATACCGCGATAAATTCATGCCTATCCAACATTCCGTCTTTATCTTGATCTGCCAAGTCCCAAATTTTACCTAACGTTTCAAATGGTAGTTTAGATTCCATTAAAACGTTTTTCACCTTGAACAAAACTAATTAACAGGCAGTAAAAATTTTAAACGATTTTTTTACTTTATTGCCTGGTATTAGTCCATTCATGGGTTGCAATGACTCAAATAATTTATCGTATTTTTCTCGCTCTGAAGGTTTTACTGTCCAATCTACTGCTGTTGGAGGCAAGGAGGTAATTAAAGGAGTATTACTAGGTGGTGGAGGCTTCACAGGTTTTGGTAGAGGGATGTCTCCCATTTTTGGTGGGGGTACATCCATATTAACATTGGAGATATTTAAGTCTTTACCATTTTGTACAAGTGCGACTAATTTTAAAGCTACAAACATGCCGGACTTATCAAGACAACCACGTCCACCTGGATCTGAAAGATCCCATATTTTTGACAGAATAACATCACTCAGCCCAGATCGTTTAAGGAAGCGCGCAGCTTCCATTCCACCCACTGTTCCGAAACCATTCGGGTCCACCTAAAATAATGCAACTTTATACAACACCATAGTGTAAAACTTTTATGGTTATTACGTCTGTTTATTCATGCTATCTACATGTAATTAAATGAATGAGTGAACAAAGTTTTAAAACGATCATTCATCTATAGAAAAGTTATTCAGAGGTTTTAACTGGAATTATTGATTTGTCCTTGCTTGTTAGTAAAATGTGTTATTCTGACACTTTTTCTATGTACTACAGCTTAGCCAATACTTACCACATTATAATAGGTCTCATATATGGCACAGTGGTTTCCAGCCACCTAAAATAACACACATGTAAACCATCACAAAACAAATGGAATGATCTTATGACGTGGTAGTCCGTGGGGTGGTTATTTAAAATAACATTAGCGAGTCTAAATTTTTAATTGATCATTTAGGATTTTTTGATGCACTGACATTTGACAATTACATTGTATTTGGTCCTGGCAGGGTGTGCCAAAACCAAAGCACCAGTTGAATTTACCCCGAAATTATTTTTTTTAAAGCAGCAGCACGAACTGCTTGAAGATAATTAATCGTTTCAACGAGAAATATTCATAACTGATAATATTATTGCATTTTAACACCGCCCACTGTCACAATCAAGACGTGATAAGAAAACATGGTTAAGCTGACCACCCATACAAAAGCAAAAAATACACCACACAGTCCACCACAAGAATCCAACCACTGTTGTAATTTACGATTAATTACACAACGACATTTAATAAATTAACAAGACTTTTAGTAAAATTTGTCGTCAGTACCTGTGTCGGTGACGGCAGCGTAGCCATCTTTTCGAATGCCCGAACTGGTCCCTTATTGGTTTAATAAGTTTTTATTCAACCAATCACAACTACAATCAATAACGAGATGAAAAATGTTGCCAACATTCGTAAAATTACTACGGAATACAAAATTTTAAAAATTATTGATCTGCCAACAATGTGTCTATAGTTTTCTCAGTTTGTTCGGATAAAATGAAAGGGTCTGTTTTTAATTTACACAGCAGATGATTTTCTTGCAAAAACACGTTGCTGTTCTTGTATTCCTCTGTAAATAACTCTGTCGAAATATTCTCTGACTCTATTTCTCGCAACCACTTAGTTTTTCTGTTTAAATCTTTTACAACGTCGTAGCATTGGCTAAGTTTGCTCCCGCAAAAAACATTGCTGTTTATCAAACGCCAAGCCGAAACTTGTTTTTTCTTGTACATTTCTTTCAAGGCGCTTTCATTTGCGACGACGAAAACGGCACAAATGTCTATTAAACACTTCGGCGAACCTGTTATTTTAGAAACGTGTCTTCGACACGTCCTTTTCCCTATTTTAGCAGGTTTTAGAAAGCAAAGCGCGTCTTTTTTCTCTTCGATGTTGGTATTTTTCGATTCTGGGACGGAAAATTCGGGAATTTTACTTTTTTCTGGAACTTCTACCCCGTTGTTGCGATTTTTTGTATTATAGTGGGGTGGCTTCATGTTGTTCAAGTATTCCAATAAATGGGGTCTAACGCTACAAAAAACTAAAATATAGTCTTTTATCAAGCATTTAACAGAGTGGTGTACTTGATTTCCGGGAGAAAATCATGCGTTTTCTTCATTTTTTCTATAATAGGGGAAGTTGAGTCAAAATCTTGGGGCATGTCAACTAAAGTTAATATATAAACTAATATGGGTGATGGCAATTCATCGTTCATCAGATCGCAGATTGTTTTCAGTGTCTGTAAACAATATTTAAGTTGGTACGAGAATGAATGCGTATTTTACCTTTTCGTAATGTTTTTTCTCGATTTTTCCGTTGTTGAAGTTGTGTATTAATTGAAACATATTCTCAATTGTTTTTGGTTGATTCTGGAAAATCTTGTGCAACACCATCATTAATAACGACTTCGTATCTTCCATTTTTTACACAAATAAAATGACAAAGTTTTTGCAAGTTTGAAGCTGTCTTCAATGTTTCATTTTATATTGTTGAAACAAACGAAAACCACATCTCAAGCACACTCTTTTTTTTATAATTAAAATTAATGCTCCCTCTATCCCAAATTAAGTGAAAAAATCGGTTTGTTTTTTTTTAATAAAAGAAAAATGTATTTTTCTCAATCTTCAAAGGTTTTTTTTTTAAATTAAAATGTTGCATTTGACATACACCGAATACAGGGCAAACAAAACCTCTTCATCTTTAAATATAAAGGTAATATTTTATACTTATTTTGGGACAGAGAAATTAAAGGTCGATTTATAAACTTGTCGCTGACGTTGCTGTTTGCCGTTGACGTTGCCGTTGAAAGTTGGCACGTCGTTCGAGATAAGTTTCGCCGTTACGTTGCCGTTGACGTTGGGTTTTCAACCAATCAAAAATTGCGGCTGTGCGCAGTGTTGCCAACTTGAGGGAAAATCTCCTACAGTAGGAGGGACATTTTTGTGGTTGACCTGTTCACCGAAACCCCAATATTTTAAACAGCTGTAAAACATGTTTAAAGTGGTAAATTTTCAGACAACGAATGAAAAATTCGTCATAATTATGCTTGGGATGGACATGGGTGGGGTTTAATTTTTGGCTTGTTTTTTTCTGAATATACATACATCGTATTCTTTGAACAACACGATACTCAAAAACGTGTTTTCTATTTCTTGTAGAAAAATAAGGATTTTGCAGTTAAACTCCGCCCCCTTGGCTCACGACGAATAAAAAAAATCATCACAATTGAGATAGGGCGGGTGGGCGGGCTTACATTTTGCCTTTTTGTTTTAATATGTGTCTGTAATCTGAAAGCTTTGAAACATTTGGAATCTTTAGAATTTCTATTTTCTTGTGCAAACTTTGATATTTTGAGATTTTATAACTTTCGATTTTTTTTAATTTTTCTGAATTTGCAGTTTTCAAAATGTCTAGAATTTTCAACTTTTCCAGATTAACCCGACTTTTCAGATTTTAAATACAGATTTTCCAAAATTTCTAAAATTATCAGGCTCCGGTAATGTCAGAATTTTGAAATTCAAACTTTGCCCAAATTTTAAACATTTCTAGAATTATATTTTCCAATTTTTTTAATTTTTCCAGATTTGCCAAAATTTATAGACCTCAAGACTCAATCTTTGGAATTTTTGGAAATTCTGGAGTCTTTACAATCTCCAAGAATTGTAAGATAATTTAATTAGGGTGTTGAAGACCTGTAGAGTTTTAAATTTACAAAAATTAAAGAAAGCATTCCTTTATGATTTTTACATTTTTAAGACTTTAGTTTTCTTTAGTCTTTGGAATCTTTAAAATGTTTGGCATTTTAAGAGTTCAGGCAATTTTTACAAGTTCTTTGAAATATATGGAGCAGAATTTTAAATATCTTTTTAACGTTTGAGTTTTTAGACTCTCTAGAATCCTTAGAGTTCTCAGAGTCCTTAGAGTCTTTCCAATCTTTAGAAACTTTGGACACTTTTGAATTACTAGAAATTTTACAAAGTTTGAAATTTTTTGAAGTACCTCTAAGATCTTTATGATTTTTTAGATTTCTTCTATCTAGAATCTTCAGTGTATTTACAATTTACAATTTTTGGTGTTTGTAATCTTTGGAACTTTGAAACCTTTTAAATCTTTCAAATTCTTTCATTAGTGTTTTAATTTTTCGATTTTACAATTTTTCATCTTTCGATTTTTCAGTTTCTCGTTCTTGATTTTTGTTTTTCTTATTCTCGATTTCATATCACAATTTTTCCGTTTTACAATATTTCTCTCGATTTTATAATTTTAAAATTGAAAAATCGAAAAATTGAAGAATTAAAAATTGAAAACTGGCAAAATGTAAGCCCGCCCATCCGCCCTGTCTCAGTTGTGACGATTTTTTTTATTCGCCGTGAACCAAGGGGGTGGAGTTTAACTGCAAAATACTTATTTCTTTACAAGAAATTAAAAATATGATTTTGAGTATTGTATTGTTCAAAGAATACTATGTATAATGAGAAAAAAAGGCAAAATGTAAACCCCGCCCACCCACCCTATCTCAATAGTGGTGAATTTTTTTATTTTTAGAAACATAAAACACGTTTAACATGGTAAATTTTTGTAAGAAAATATGGATTTTGCAATTAAATTTTCTCCTTTGACTCTCGACAATTAAAAAAAAATCGTCACAATTGAGATAGGGCGGGTGGGCGGGGCTTATATTTTACCTTTTTTCTTAATACGTATACGTAGTCATCTTTGCAAAACAAGAAACTTAATAACACATGCGTATCTTGCAATCTAATCTTTGGCTTTATTTTTTTCTTAATATACATAGTATTCTTTGAATAACACGATACTCAAACTCATGTCTTACATGGTAATTTCTTGTAGATAAATAATAATGATTTTACAATTAAATTCCGCTCCTTTGGCTCTCGACGATTTAAAAAAATCTTCAGCATTGAGAGAGGGTGGGTGGGCGGGGTTTATATTTTGCTTTTTTCTTAATATACACAGTCGTCTTTTCAGAACAAGAAACTTGAAACATGTTTAAAAAATTTGTACAGGGAAATGTCGATTTTGCAATTACACTCCGCCCCTTAGTCTGACAACCAATGAAAAATTCATCACGATTGAGATCGGGACGGATGGGTGGGGTTTCTCTTTAGGTTTACTTTTTTAATTAATACATCTAGTTTTCTTTGTATAACACGATTACACATGGTAATTTCTCGTAGAAAAATAAGGATTTTACAATTAAACTCCGACCTTTGGCTTACGAAGAATAAAAAAAATCATCAGAATTGAAATTGGGCGGGTGGGCGGGGCTTATATTTTGCTTTTTCTACTTAATATACATACCCATCTTTTCACAATAAGAAACTTAGAACATGGTTAAAATAGTACATTTTTGCAAGGAAATATTGATGTTGCAATTATGGATCGGAGCGTTATTTACTTAGCTAGTAGCTGCTAAGATAAAAATGATTTTGCCAATGATATATCCTCTAAGAAAAAGAGAGGGTGGGTGGGCGGGGCTAGTATCTGCTAGGATAAGACTAATTTTGGTAAATAAGGGCAGGTGGACTGGATTAGTACTTGCTAAAATAAGATCGATTTTGACAAATAACATACGCTATAAGAAAAGAGAGTGTGGGTGGGCGGTCTAGTAGCTGCTGTAGTTAATTCTAAGTCCCCTAGTGATTTATTTTCGGATAAATTTAAAGGAATCTGATGTTTTGTTGCTAGATGAACTACTTGAAAAAATCTTTTGAGCTTGAAAACCTGGTTTACAGAAAGTGAATTAAAGTTAATTCGCGATTAATTTTTAATTGAGGTCCGCTGCAAGCCAACATTCATGTTTTAGCCAATCACGGGCTCATTTTAATCCTCTGTTAAATTAATCGAGGATTAAATATATTTATTAATTCTCTTTCTATCTATAAACCGCCCCTTATAGTGTTTTATTTTATACGAATTGGAAAAAATCTTTGATTGCTGCAGTGATTTTTTTTTTTAATTCGGGAGACTCTTGGGCATCCATGGCGTATTATTTTGGCAGCCTATGGATATTTTTTTTGTAAATTATTTAAAGCAATTTTGGGGGACTTTGGTGTTGTATTTTTGGAAAATTCTGGGCCGAACTGTTTTTGAGTCAATTTTGGGACCCCGGTTTTTTTTTTTTTTGAAAAATTGAAAACGATCTTGAGGTTCCGGGTATTCCTGTTTGGAAAGAATTTATTTAAAAGTGCTTTGGAGCCTCTAGAATCTCTAAAAATCTGTAGAATGGCTAGACTCTACAACTTGTACAATTTCTGGAATTTCTAGATTCGGTATAATTTTTTTAATTACTAGAATCATTTGAATCACTAGAATCTTTAGAGTCTGGAAACTTTGGAATCTCTAAAATCTTCAGAATGTAACGAATTTTTAGGGTCTCTAGGATACTTTAAATCCTTTTGAAATTTTTGGGATTTTTAGAATTTTTACAATGTTTAGTACTTATTTCCAGAATTTCCAGAATCTCTAGAATGGCTGCAAACGCTAGGCTCTACATCTTGTACAATTTCTAGAATTTCTAGATGCTAGATAATTTTTTGAATTTCTAGAATCTTTGGAATCTTCGGAAACCTTGAATCTGTAAATCTTATGGAATTTCTAGTATTTTTAAAACGTCTGGAATCTTTAGAATCTAAAGAATTTTTAGGGTCTCTAGGATACTTAGAATCCCCAGAACTTTTGGAATCTTTGAAATTTTTAAAATTTTTACAATTTTTAGAGTGTCCACAATCTTTAGTACCTCCAGAATCTTTAGAACCTCTAGAATCTCTAAAAACTCTAGAATCTATAGAATCCTTCGAATTTTTCGAACCTGTATAATTTCTAGAATGGCTAGACTCTAAAACTTGTACAATTTCTAGAATTTCTAGATTTTGCATCATATTTTTAATTACTAGAATCTTTAGAGAGACTGGAAACTTTGGAAGCTTTAAAATCTTCAGAATGTAACGAATTTTTAGGGTCTCTAGGATACTTGGAATCTAAAACTTTTGAAATCTGTGGGATTTTTAGAATTTTTACAATTTTTAGTATTTCCAGAATTTCCAGAATACTAGAATGGCTGCAATCGCTAGGCTCTACATCTTGTACATTTTCTAGAATTTCTAGATTCTGTGTAATTGTTTGAAATTCTAGATTCTTTGGAATCTGCGGAAACCCTGAATCTGTAAATCATATGGAATTTCTAGTATCTTTACAACGTCTGGAATCTTTAGAATCTCTAAAATCTTCAGAATCTAGAGAATTTTTAGGGTCTCTAGGATACTTAGAATCCCCAGAACTTTTAGAATCTTTGAAATTTTTAAAATTTTTACAATTTTTAGAGTATCAACAATCTTTAGTTTCTCCTGAACCTCTAGAATCTCTAAAAACTCTAGAATCTATAGAGTTCTTCGAATTTTTCGAACCTGTATAATTTCTAGAATGGCTAGACTCT